ATTTAGAAAATGACATGATTTTAGTTTTTTGGATGTTGACGGTAAGGTCATTTAAAGAGGTATATTTTTTTTAAATTTTAAGTTTTTTTGTAACATCAATCTTAGAGTGTGCTAGGATTACCATGTCGTCGGCATAAAGTAGTGTGAGAATATCATGGATATCGTCAATATATACATCCTGGGCTCCCACGGCATATAAAAAAATCTTCTATATCAGCTTGAAACATAGCGAAAAGTAAAGGACTCAGGGATTCTCCTTACAGTACACCGTCAATTACATGAAAAGATAGATAAACCGTTAGAGGATCTAACCCTGACTGAGGCTTTTGAGTATAAATTTATTACAACATTAAGAATTTTCGCCGATATACCTAACCCATATAATTTATTCCACAATAAACGATGATTTACCGAATCAAATGCTCTTTTGAAATCGACGAAAATTGCAAAAAGTTTTCTTTTTCTATGCCTAATATGCAAGTGTATTACCAAAAACTTAGTGTATGTACATTGTCGATACAACCTCGACCAGCCAGCTTGACATTCGGGTAAGATGTTGCAGTTATCAGTTCACAGAGGAAGCCTATCTAGAAAAATAAGTTGTTAATTATGTTGATAGATTTATTTCAAGCGGTGAAACAGTGTACTGTAAATTTTTCTTTTTTGTATTCAAAAATATCTAACGGAATGCAACGTTGATAATTTTCTTCTTCGCGTTGCTTTTAGATATAAGTTGGATAGGACAGAACTTTTTGTTTAATCCGCACCCTATTCCCAACGTTCTTTATTTTTCAGATTTTTTTGAGAGTTACTTTTGTAGATAAGGTGGTGATGTAATTCCAGAAAAGTGTTCCTTTTTGTGAAATTGGAGACAGGAATATAAAAATAAATTAAAACTTAGGGATGACCCCGTTTCTAGATTTACTTATTTTAAATTTTTGTCTAAAGAATAATTGAATTTCAATTGAGATTTTAATCGAAAAAAAAATCAAGGATTTCAAATTTCCTTTGCAAATAGTTAAAGATTTCTATTCTATTATAAACTGTTAGGATATCCTCTAGGCAGTGATCAAAACTTTATTATCCAAGGAATGTTTGCTCTACATTTAGTTCACTTCAACGCTAGCAGTTCCCCAAACAATGATACACATAATTCATGTCCATATCCCATGTGACCTAACTCAAGCAGAATTCAGTTTCAGAAACACGTTGCATTCATCGGCTCAAAACTCCGCTCAGTGTGGAAGACTCAGTCAATCACAATAGTCATCAGAGCACGACAAGAGGATTAGTGTTTGTTGATAAATGTAATATTAGAGGGTGCGCTTATTGTATAATCTCCTCTAACGGTAATCTGGAGTTGGTTGACTCGAGCAATTAAATTTGTTGGCGTAATTGGACACAAAGTGAATTGAACGTAAGTATTGTTATTTGTGGAAGCATGTCGGATGTACTACTGAGAGTCTAATGATTGTCAATTTGGTTTAATTGAATTTTTGTTTGACATTATACCTGGCGTAATAATATCTAAAATACGTAGAAAAGAATATTAAATTTGGAGTACGAGTAATTAATTTAAAATAACATTTGTCAGATGGATACCATAACAACAAAAACATTGTGACGACTATTTTATTAATATTCAGTGCTGTTCCTAAAGTGGCGCTGGGAAACAGTAACAAAGCCTACACAGAACACGAGACTAATGGCCTTAGTAGTCGATGCCGATGACACCAAATTAAAAAAAAATAATAATAATTTTTATTCACACACAAATAATTACAAGTAGCTGCAAAGTATACTTAGTAAAAACAATTCAATGCAATGTTTATATAATATAAATAAAAACACCCACAAAAGGATTAGGTACCTGAGCATGGGCATGAATTTCATTTTTTAAACAACAAACTAATAAAACAAAATATTCTTAAATATAATTTAAAATTTTCTTAAAAATTTTTTAGAGCACCATTGGAATTTAAAAATTGTTTAAGTTTAATAAGAGGTATCTCTGAAATCCATTTTTTAAATAAAGAACGAGAGTAAATTTTTTTGATATCGGTAGGAATATTGTTTGGACCTAAATATGTAAAACATTTTTGTCCCAATGTTTTTTCTACTCGGGGTATAGTAACAGAATCGACTTTATACCTCGTATTATACGTATGAGTGATATGTATGTTTTCTTTACTGATTTTGTATTGATTTAACAGTAACACTTTAGTACAGAGCTGATACATGTAAAATATTTGTGTTTACTGATAAAGTGCTGCAGAAGGATAAATTCGAGGTTTATTTTACATATATTTTATTATGGACTTTTGTATTTTTTGTAGATTTTCTAAAATAACTATTCTAGCAGACCCCCATGCAATGAGTACGTAATATAAATGAGATTATACAAGTGCATAATATATTATTATTAAGTGATTAATATGTAAAAATGTTGATAGATTTTTAAATTTACATACTACAAAACGTAGTTTCTTTATTACATAATTCACATGTGCGTCCCATTTCAAATGACAGTCAGTGTATACACCTAGATACTTTATGTTATTGATAGATTGAATATCTATTGAATGTTTCTGATCTATATTAATTTTTAGTTTTTTATAAGGTGGTAAGTTATTACTGTAATATGAATGGTACGTAAAATTTTTTATCATAATTTATTGTCAAAGCCTTATAATGAAAAAAATTGACAATTTTTGGGAAGTCTGCTTCAACGGTATTTTTCACTTACTACCAATTACTTCAATTATAGAAAACTGCGGTATCGTCGGCAAAACTGACCACTTCGTTTCCAACGTGTTGTTCAACTAAGTTATTTATATATATGTTAAATAGTAGTGGACCGAGTACTGTTCCTTGAGGAACACCACAGATTATAATCTTAGGACCACTTAAGGTGCCGTTAATATTGACTAATTATGTTCTGTTATGAAGATAGCTCTTCATTAAATTGTAGACTACGCCCCTGAAACCAATGTTTTCTATTGTTTTTAAAAGTTGTTGTTGATGGTTAACAGTATCGAATGCTTTTGCGAGATCAACAAAGATGCAAAGTGACGGTTGTTTTTGGTCTATTGAATTATTGATTATTTTTGTCAATCTCGCAATTGCATCCGAAGTTGAGGTGTTTTCTCGAAACCCATACTGTTTGTTTGACATGACTTCATATTTAATTTAGAATGAAAACATTATCTTTTTTATTTTTTCAAAAATTTTTCCTATACTGGAAATTATTGAGATCGATGGGTAATTAATTACTCCAAACTTATCTTTTTTTATAAATGGGGATTATCATAGATTCTTTTAAAGGATCTGGAAATTTTCAATCCATATTTATTAGGAAGGTCAATACTGGTGATATTTCATTGTATTTGATAAATATATACTTTTACTATTTTGTTTTACTCTAATGTTTAAGTTCGTCGATGTAGATATTCTACTAACCATTTTTTCCGCAATTGTATAGTGTTCACAAAATGTATTTAATATTAGTTTAAGATTGTTAGTGACCGTCCCTTGGATAGTTTTAATTCGAACAATTTTTACTTTGTTTTCTTTAGCATTTGACATTTCTTTAATACATTTCCAAAGATTTTTGCTTCCATTTTTATTAGTCTCAATTTTTTATTAAAATATTCACGTTTAGCTGATTTTATTAAAGTATTTAAATGATTTCTATAATTTTTAAAGTTGAATTTATTTTGTTCCGTATAATTATTTTTCATTATTCTATATAGTCTGTTTTTCTCTTTAATTGATTTTACAAGTCCAGAAGTGATCTATGATTTAATTTTTATTTCAGTTCTTTCTAATTTTACCCGAATTTTACCCATTTAGTACAACTTTCAATATAAAATTTTAATTTATTTTTGAACAAAGAAGTGTTTGTATTAATGTCTTTTGAATTATAGACGTCAACCTAAGTTTCAAATTTATTTTTTTTTTAGTTCCGTTTTATTTAAAATTTGTTTAAACTTATCTACAGAATTTTTGTAATGTTTGGTTATAAATAAAGTATTTGCTATAGAAAAGTAATCTGTAATATTGGTTTCAATTATTGCTGGAATATTAATATATTTTTCTTTGGTTTTTATAAAAATATAATCCAATCATGATTTTTCGTTTCCTACAACCCTTGTTTATTTATTTATGTAACTTATAAATCCTACCTCGCTTAGTGTATTTAAGTAATCTTGTACATTATTATTGTCTCTATTTAAAATATCAAAATTTGTATCTCCTCTTATAATGTGGAAGTCAACGCTTTTGCTGTTTTTTAAGTATGTCGATAAGTTATCTATGAATATTTTTTCATCAGAAGGACAAGGTTTCAATAATATTTATTTCATCATTAAAAACAGTACTGTAATTTTCTTTCGCAAATAAGACTGCGCCATCACATTGGTTAAAGACACCTTCATTATAAAATAATTTGTACCCCGGCAATCTAAATAATGATGTATCAGTAAGTTTTTTAGTTTCAGTGAGAATTATAAAGTCAAAACTGTTACATATCTGGCTTAAATTAATCTTTAATTCGTCGAGGTTTTTACTGATACTTCTTATATTCATTTGATAAATTGATATACAATGTTATTCAGGGTATTCCTCGGTTAGCTTGATATAGTCTGAGAGATTACTTAATACATTTGTGTTAATAAAATTGTAACTAAAATCTCTTTAACAATTATCCATTTATTAATAATAATAATTTCAAGTAAAATCAAATAAAATAATATTTTAATAGGTACTTACAATAAGATTAAGCGGTTAGTAAAGATAAAACTACAAATATAATTTTTCTTGGTTAGCAATATCTTTAGTTTTTATTTTTCACTATTTAGTCTTGCCGACGGTCTTACTCCAATGTTTTCAACCAAGGTTCTTTTATTTATTACTGGTTCTTCAAAATATTGTTCTGCTGAGACTTTTTTTATTCTCCTCAGCTTTCGTGTTCGTGTTTGTTGGAAGATGTATGTTCTTACTAGTAGTTTGACTAATATCGTTTGTTTTATTAATAATATCTTCATTTGTAAACGCTTTACTTTCCACGTATAAAGTTTCTTTGTAAATATGTGCCTTTTTATTCTTGGCCTTTTCTATTTTAAGTTGATTTACCAAAACTTGTTTCACCATTCTTTCCTCTTTTGTCAATTCTTGTGCTACTATAATATATTTACCTTTCAATTTAATACAGTGTTTAAGGATATTTTGTTTTATCAGGAACGATACAAATTTTACTATTGGTTTGTTTGTTGCACTTTTTTTAATACTGTATAGGTTGTTAATGTCTGAATTCACTAATTGTAATCCAAGGTCACCATTTAAGGTATTTAATGTATGTTGTAACAGATCTTCTTTATCAAATTTGGAATTAAAAATAATCAAGTTGTTGTAACGTTCCTTTTTTTTCTAATATTTTGTTAATAGTTTCTACTTCCTTTTCTAATTTTATAGCTTTCTCTGATTATTTAACTAATAATTCTTGAATTCTTTTTATTTCTTCATTTAGTGTGTTTTTTATTGCATCTGATTGATTTTTGTTCTGATCGTCAATAAGAATATACTAAAAACGACGAAATCTTCTAGGTATGCCGCTGACGCTTCGAGAAACTGCCGTTGAGTCATAGAGATGGAATTTTCGGGAGCGCCTAGAAACGACGAGCACGGAATTGGCTTGGTATAAATAGCCGACTCATCGGCGCACAGTTTAGTTTAGTAGAGAACATTGTTATGAAATGTTAAATTGTAATAAATAAATTAGAATCGTTAGTAAGTGTCTAAGTATTATATATTAAATAGTACGTCTTAAATAAATTTTAAATAGTGTGTTTTAAATAAATAAACTATAAATAAATTAGACTGTCGTTACACTTCTTTAGTTCTCTCACCTTGTCAAATAAATCATTTAAAATATTTTATTTATTTCAATTCAGTAGTTACCTATTTATTGTAAGTTAAAGTGCGATAGTAAAACTAATAGTTTTAATGTGAAATAAATGTGGATCTTACGCAAATAATATAATAGAATGGAAAGTAGCGATGCTTTTTGTACCATCTTTAATAAAACACCAGAATAGAACTCATATCTGAATTTAATATTAGGATTAAAAATTGCCTAAATAATGTTTGGCTTAAGGGGTAAAATATCTTAAATATATTTATACAGGCGAGCTTAAGGAGTAAAGGGGCAAATATTTTCATATGGGCAGGCGTACATGATAAAAGGGAGAAAATTTTTTACTTGGATAGACTTGGGGGGTTTAAAGGGTCCAGCCTATTTTTACATGGGTAATCTTAAGTAAAGGAACTAAATATTTTGATATGGGAGACTTAAGGGATAAAGGAATTAAATATTTTTATAAGGATAGGCTTAAGGTAAAAATAGGTATATACTTTTATGTGGGCATATTCTCACATGGACATGCCCAACAAGTAGACTGCAGAGCCGAATTAGAATATCAATTCGAATGTGCAACACATGCCGTAAATGGCATGATTTTTTGTAAATGTGCGGTACGAGCTTAAATCTGGAATTAAAGCTAAATTTAATACGTATTGTTTATTTATTCTAACTTTTGCACTTTCTGCAAGTCGTATTTTTAAAACGAAAGTTTTTAATAGTTTTTCACCAGTCTCATCTAATAATGTTTTACTAAGTCTTCATCATTAACAATATCGAGGACCACAACCCAGGACCTCGTAACTACCATTTCCACTAAAAGTTATATTCTATGATAATCTCATTAAAAACATTTCACTCGATCCACTGTTTTCTTGTTTAAATAGCTTTCCAGTGTTATTTATTACAGAAATAGATATCTACTTTGTAACTTTAAAATGGTCTCTACTTTTTTGTTTTTAATTGTAACTTTCACCTAATAATTTGTATATTTATTTTGTATACTATTCCGTTTTTTTGGCATGCTATCAATTTTTATGATTATACATATCAACGTTATATTCTTTTAAAAATTTTTTACCTGTTTGTGCTTGTAAAAACTATTTTGTGTTGTTTAGTTAATAATAGTCTTACATGTGTTTTAATTAATTTATTCAATCAGACATCTCGCGGTTTAACCTAACCTAAAAATATATTTTTTAAAATACTATTGTAGGTATTACATGACTTTTTTAACTCGTTTTGTTAAACTTTATGTAGCACTTCCTTTATGGAAATAGTCAAGGTCATTGTTTAATTTTCTTTTGTGTTTTTTCTGTTACTTTGTATATGTTAATGTCCGTTCATACTTTTATAATTGTTTTTATTACTACTGACTCCTTGACATTCCATTTAGGTGTGCCTGATGATGAAGCAATAGCTTCGAACCGGTCGCCAATTAAAATTGATTTGTGAGAAATAAAGGACCTTTTCTTAACCCCCCCCCCCCTTATACTTATATCATAGTTAAACAAAGTATATCTTTCTACTATATAGATATGCGTAACTACTAATATGTCTTTCCTGTAGATTGGTATTCTTCCTGTATAAAACAAATATCTATAATACGAATAATTGAGAACAATATGTCTTTGTAAATATATTTCATGAGTGTCAAGGAATTTTTTTACAATAAACAGAAGAGAAATTTAAATTGGTAAAAAATTGCATAATTAAATAATAATGAAACTTCAAGCAAATGTTAAGATTGACGACTTTTTTGCTGGTGAGTATAGAATATTTATTTCCTTTAATAGCTTTGGAATAGAAACAATGTTTCTACCCATCATCCCCTGGTTTAACTATTAAACTACAACATTTCCAGAGCTCTGATATATAAAGCAATTCAGTAACTGTTGCCGATTTTATCCGGTCTGTTGATTCCATTTGTAACATGTTTATCGCTAGCTCCATTATCCTAGAATAATGACTTTATCTGTCGATTTTTTGTACTAAATAAACTATAGGTGATTAGTTAGTAGACACTTTATTTCAAACAGATTTAAATTTTTAAAATTATATTAAAACTGATAAAATGGATTAGTTAAAGAATAAAAACAAAGTAATTTCATTATAGGGGTGGCCATTTGAAAACGACACAGAGCCGATTTTGGGCACCTCAGGTCATTTACGAAAAAGCGCTCGGACTCGAAAATTTTTGGTTGTAGGGGGAAACATTTTTTTGCCAGTTTCACCTCCTGCTCGAAAACTTAAGTGGAAAGAGTGGTCGAATGATATCTTATTTTGAAGGTATTTTTATATAGATTGTAATCCTTGAGTTTTACATCGCTACTATCTACGTAGCCCATACAGTGGCTCACCTAAAATACAAAATCCGTTTAATATAATTTTTACATTGTTATTAAAACAAATGAAATTTTTTGTAACAATTTTAGTTTTATTCCTATGGACTTCAATTATTGTTATCAGATGACATTCTTTGGTCGTCTAAAGTAGTTTAGTTTATTTTGTTGTAGAGTTGGCATAAAAGTGGCATATCAGTGATAATGGTTTAGTCAATTGCTGAGAGGGTGCAAATAATTTCACTTTTCATGCGAACAATAAATGTGCTAATAGAACTGCCCAACTGTTTAACAATCAACATCAAAATCGACAAGTCCATCGACAGTATATTTTGGAGTTAGTCCAAAAATTTAGTACATGTTGTTCAAGAAACTACATTGAGTACAAGATAGTTGGCGATAACATCTGGTATTAATAAAAGTAACATTCAGAAGATATTGAAAAACACAAGTTTCATCACTACAAAATACATCTTGTACAAGAACTTAACCAAGATGATTTTGATAGGCGATTACAATTTTGAGAAATTATGACTGAACGGGCAATAAATGATCAGCACTTTTTTTTCAACGTGTATTTTTTCCTAAATTGTACGGTAAATCGTCATAACTGTCGTTATTGGTCCGATTCAAATCCCAGAATATTTCATGAAGTTAACAAATTTTTTATTGTATACTTTGTACCATTGTATGATACCAATTACGAAATGCCTCATTTTATCTAACGAATGAATCTTTGCGGAACAAGCAGAGCGAAACATAAAAACACAGCATCTTATGCAGTTAAAGATATTGTTCTAATAAAGACCGTATAAGGCTGACGAGGCCAAAGAAGGGAGTTTTTTGTATAATTGAAAAAAAAACATTCTAAAAGACACTATAAAACATGATTTTATAATTATAACATAAAATTTGTACCTGCTACTTTCGGTAGAAAATACGATAAGAACGAACCCTTTCCCCTCCGGTCGATTTTACATATCCTCTTTAAGTACCTGTCCTGATGCCGCCCTTTTTTGTACGCATTAATAAAAATATATTTTCGGGAAATTTTCTAAAAATATTCATGAGCGAGAAAAAATTTCCTGATATTAATTTGACCTCGCGTGGTATTCGGTAAGAAAATTCCACGCCGAATTATGGTTGAAAATTAAATATTTTTAAAATTTATTTTTCGTTTCTCAACAATGCAAATTATTTTCTCCAAGTCACCAGTGAAACATAAAAGGTGTTGTCGCCTTGATTGTTGAGTTGTCATGGTAACTAAGTGAGACCCTAACCTCGAATATAATTTCAGTTTTGAAGTTGTCAAGCGGCCCGACGTAAAAAAATGTTTCGCTGCAATTATTTAGGCCTTCAAATTGCTTATTTCTACTCATTGTAGTTGCATGGGAATACCATTTGAAAATAGAAAATAGTATATTCTTTAATTTTACGTAAGTTTTGAATAACTACAAGTGGTAAAAAATTGTTTTTCTGCGATTTTATTAACATGCGTTATGAGCGCTTTAAAATGGTATGAAATTCATAACCAGCGTCAGCAAGCATCAATCGTAGGAGGCTGTGATCATTGTATTTTGACAGTTCAAAACATTAAATAACTCGCATTTTGTTGCGATAAAGAATATTGCACAGCAAGTAAAACCAACAAAATTACCTATTTGTTTAAAAATGAATCGATTTGAAAATCATACGCTATGCAAAATATGAGTGAAATTGTCTGATGTAATTATCAATCATTGCACCATGACTTACTTACTCGGATTAATAGAGGATTGTGGCTCCAACTTGAAAAACGAAAATTTGTTCCGAATTGTCCACGAATATTTGCACCTAAACTACGCAAAATTCAAAGTGCTGAATGGGAAAAAGGTGAATAAATTAGTGTCTAA